TAAATCAACATAGGGTGTCTTATTATATAGCCATTTCTATATACATATATTATACTTCAAAAGATTAAATAAAATAAATGTTTACTTCACAAACTCTTATAAGGCAGATTATTGAATTGATCAGGTATATTATGAAACATAAACATGAAAATTAGCTTAACATTTTCCAGTTTCGAAAATTTCATTCATTCCTCATTTACAATTTTTGTATATACAATTGATCTAAATTTTTGTTAAATATTTTTTAAATTTCAATTTCAGTCTTCTGGTTTGGAAAAGAGATCTTCCTCTCTCCCACCAAACCTCGTCCCTTCACTAAACCCTTAGGAATAACATTTTTGAAGATGTTAAAATGAATAAAAATTTACTTCAGTGAATCATATAAGACAGATTATGAGAGATATAAACACAATTGTATATGATCAAACATGAAAAATAGCTTAGAATTTCTAAAAATTTGAAAATATAAATCTCAAAAATTATAAAAAAAACTTGTCGAATCTGTTTTGATCTTAAATTGTAGCATATTAAATTTCGTTTAGAAATGTATATGTTTTCTATTATTCAAGCATCCCCAAACCAATACATTCCCATATCTATGTTTAACGCTAACCGAAACAGCTTTCCTCTTCAATTTCTTGTTTTTCCTTCGCCAAATAGTTTTTAGATTTAAACAATAAATAGACTATTAGATAGGCTATTAGATTTAAACAAATTAAATTTACTCTCATCATAGAGCAGTAAATGTACATATCAAAAAGAGCAAAAGGTAGAGCACTGGCGGATCCAGGAATTTCCATAGGGGAAAAGCGCACCTTCTACCACCCCTACCCGTTTCCCCACCACCACTCATCTCCCCCCACTCCTTAGCTGAGTTTCGTCGCTCAAAAGTCCTCTTTAAATGGTTTTTAAGGAACTCTACATTTAGAACTACATTAAACAAAAGGAAACTATATTTTTATTTAAAGTAATTTTTATTTACTTTACAGTGAAGTCAGTGATAATTACTTAAATTAAATATTTTTTTAGTTATCACTTCCTATTCACCAAAAAACGTGACTTACTTAAAAAGTCACAAAATTTAATTTCTTACTTTCCTGCCGAAAATCGTACCTTTGTTTGTATAGACTTTTTTGTGTTTTTTGAGTTCCGCTATCATTTCTTTAAATATTTATTTCTACTTACGGTACACCTGTATATGGGTTTAGACATGTAAACAAAAAAAATTGCTGAGACGGGTAACCGTGAGAAAACTATTTACAGCCATAAAATCGAGATTTATCTAATTTGTTTTTTCATGTGTTACAACTAAATATGCATCAAAGCGAAAAACGTATTCTTTAAGAAATTAAAGAACGTCAAATTGCTCGTCGAACGAGTTGAACCTAAACTTCATAATTTGATTAAGTGATATGGTCGATATCTATGGTCAATGAACACTAATCTTTACCATCATTGTTAAAATCTGAGACAGAATACTGTAAATGACCCTTTAGCTTGGAAATGAGTTCTCTGAAAAAAGAAACTCAGAATAATTTCCGATTCAGATCATAATCAGATTCCGATCAAATCGGAGACCTAATAATTAGTACCTTCCTTCACGAAAACGTTTCCAACAACAGCTATTTTGAGAAAAGAACAACACTGTCTAATGAGAAATATACGAATTATTATTGACCAGTTTTATGAATCCCATGGATTCTTCAAGGATGTTGCTGGAGTTGCTGGAGGTTGCAAAGCGTCCAGATCTATTGGAACTGAATAAAAACTGGGTCCGGGAGAAGAACTGTATTTTCTTGGGCTCAAATAAAAGGTTGTTCGAAAGAATAAATAAAGTTGTTTTTATTAATTAATTTTCCTTCATTTATTCTACCTGCGAGACTCAGTTCGGAGTGTGTAGGAACAAACTACGACTGGAGCACAAGCCTTCGCATTTCAAGGTGGTCCAAGAACTACATCACTTCAACCTACAAACCAACTTTTGCTCTTACATTCTATTCTTGGTTTCAGAAAATCTCGCCACAGCCTGGTGAGGTGACGTAATATGACAAACCGTAAGATTAATAAAAATGGTCTCGATAATATATGTTTTTAATAGCACATTAGAAAGTTCGTCAATGAGGATGAATTTTCCCTATATTTCGCTTATATTTAAATTGATGTTTTTTGGAACTTTTTTCGAAATTTTGTTCTACAATCCAAGGAAGGGCGCGCCCCTGGCAGATCTCGCTATTGCTGGATTCGATAATTTTTTTCCCATTATATTAGGAATTCGTCTATGAGGATGAATTCTTCCCATATTTGTCTTTTCTTTAAATAGGTATTTTTTAGAAATTTTTTACACCGTTCAAGAGGGGGCGCGCCCCCTGACAGAATTCGGTAGAGCTGGTCACTATAATAACTTTTTTTTATATTACATTAGGAAATTATTCTATGAGAATTAATTTTCCCTATATTTCTCTTTTCGTTAAATAGATGTTTTTGGAACTTTATTGGAATTTTTTTTTCCATCTTTCAGGGGGAAGTGCGCCCCCCAGCTGGATCCGCTATTGAGGCAGACAAACTCTGAGAGGGTGCGACAGTATGATGCTGCACCTTGGACCTCAGGCGATGCAGGCCTTCGACTATATTCTAATGTTCATATTTTGACTTACACAAAAAATCATTGGCCTATGAGACGTCACGAATCTCGTAATCCACGAAAGCTGAGCTTATGCATTTGCAGAAAAATGAGGGATGCATATCCTTGGGGACATAAGGACGTACGGTAGATGTTTCACAAAGAAGAACATCCGATAGATAAGGGAAATCTATCCATTTGAGCTACAGCTTGGGATTCTTTAGCAGCCACTCAATTGTGTCGTCCTTAGTCTGCGCCTCAAGTAAGGCAGCTGTTTCACCAGAAGCGCTAATTTCTTCCCCTCTTGATAACGGGTCCGCAACATTGTTCTCCATACCTCACGTAATGAATATCTGTTGAGAATTGGCTGATGAAATTCACCCACCAAATTCACATAGAAGTGGAGGTTTCCGATTTCTGCTGAATCACAAATAGAAGTGGCTTGTGATCCGCATCTTCAGTAGAGTTATGCACACTAACCATAGAACTATTGAAAAACAGCTCCCCTTAGTCTTATTGCACAGATACGTGCGTTGATGAGTTTGTAATTCAGTAGGGAGTGTATTTAGCTTATTACTTATCATAAACCCTGTCCCCAGTTGGTTTCATTTATGCCCACTGTAGGTAATTTAGAAAATAATCCTTCAGGTTAAATGCTGCTATATTTATTTTATACCTTGAAAGTTCTTGCTCAAGGTTTCCACTCGCTCCGATCTGGAGGAGCCTTCTTTCGTTTCTCGTTCCTAGAATCATGTGTTTTTAAAGTTCTGGGTAGGGTCGTAGCATTAAATTATTCTGCCTATTTCTTCGTATATGATTTGTAACAATGATTGTTTTACAGGGCAGGATCGTTAAACCGACACCTAACCCCTAACCTGGAAGACCAGATTTACGATCGAGGTTCTCTTCCTCTAGAGGTTGTCTTCGCTACCTCCGTGCTACTTTTGGTACACCTCGAGTATTCCTTTTCCTCGGTATCATCCATATCCCCTATCCGTATTCTGGTAGGCACATGATGGACTAGCAACACCACTCGAAATATTTCCGATACATCCAAACAACAATATTTATTCTTACTAGTGGATTAATGGTTGACTGTAGTAAATTATAGGAGATAAGTTGGTTGGGGTGCTCAGTCAAAATACAAAGTAAAAATAAATAAATTAAGACTGGCAAAAACATAAATAAATATATTTTTTTTTACTTTGTATTTTGACTGAATACCCCAACCAACTTCTCTTCTATAATTTCTTATTACGTTTGTTTCAAAATATATATATTATATAGGCGTTCCAACTAGGGTTGCCTTTCATGACTTGTTTCTAAGTGGTAACTTTAATTTCTGCTTAATTTTAGACAATTCTCTATTTTTACAGCTCTAAATTTATGTGCGTAAAAGAGGACGCAGCACTGTTTGCATTTATTTACAAAACCGTGTATTTTTCTGTTTTCATATCAGTTATAATGAAGAATAAATAATTATTATGATTCATTATTTAAAATGTTTTTAAAATTATGTTTAAATTAAGAATTTAGTCATTAGAATGTATATTATATTTTTCATCTAATTTAATGCTTTGCAATCTATAAGAATATGTAATTTGGACAATACTCTTTGTTTTCATTCTGAAATAAAATCACAAACCTCCTCATAACTTGATCCCCGACAACGTATTCTAAGATATATTTTTGTAATAAAAAAGTAAATCATTCGTTATCAATTTTCAGGCCGCAGCCAAAAAAAAAAATTCCAGTTTTTAAGACACTTTTCAGAAATTTGTCTCCTAATAGTCTTAATATATATAGCTTAGAGAAAAAAAAATACCCTGATGTTTTTAAGGTAACATGTACATTTCTTCATAACAGACTCTATTATTTCACATTCATAACTAATATAATAGAAATAGGGATGATTCAATGTTAATTATTTGATTACTGCCTAATCATAAATATCGTGTTTAAAATATATAATAAAATGTTTGTATAATTTTAGTTATAAATTAAATTAATAATGAACTAATTTGTATAAGAAGAATATGCCATTTCACTGATTTGATGGCGAGAACAGATTATTGAACTGGCAAACGTAAATTTATGTACATAAGAAAAGTTTTATAGAACTTCAGTTTCAGTCGATGAGCAGTTTGAAATTCTACCGACAGAGTTCACATGACGATTTCATGCCAGCATAACGGTTCCTCTTTACTTTTAAAAACTTATTTAAAAAAAAATGTTAAACGAATATTCTGTGATCAATTTTTAAATTATTTAAATGTGTTAGGAATTGGTTATATATATTTTTAAATATTTACAGTAGTCTAATTAATTTTACGTAGTTCACAAACTTCCCGCAAGAGTAGTCTATCGACTGTGGGTCAGCCATTACTCTTGTGAGTTTCGTAGTGTTTTCTCTGTGTCTTGTTAAGTGATCATTATTTTGGAAATTCGTGTTGCGTTGTGGTTTAAATTGTCATGTTGATACTATAAACTCGTTTTATACTATTTCCTGAAGATGACTGCAAATTCTCCAGAAACCTCGGTTTCTAGCACCGAGAAAGCAGATATTCCACTGGAAACCAGTAAGCATTTCTTTTCTTGTGTAATTGATCTTTTACCAACCGTGCTTTCTCGATGAATTCTTCGCTTCCATATCCTCTTTCTTAATCCTGTTCACTAAATTTAACTCTGTTTATAGTGTTTCTATTTTTAGTTACATCTTATTAATGTAACAAATTGCATTCATAATAATTAAGGTGTTGTTAAGTATTTTCAAAGTTGTTTATCTCCCTATACAATTTATATTTTTTCTATTCATATTAACGCCTACAATCTTCATTTATTTATGTTTGGTGATATATTTTCTTGTATTTTTCCAGAATCTGTTGGTTTACTCTCTTCGTCTTTCCCATTCACTCAAAAACAATTGATTTTAGTGAACTCATTCCCATGGATGGATGAATTTTTCAGACTTTGTTATAAAGATATGACCAATCCAACTGCAAGAGGCCTTGAGAAGTTAATGATCTTCTATCATCAGTAAGATTTTATGCTGTAACTCTTTTTGATATACATTATTGCATGATATGTGTTAAAACAATATTGCAGGATACACAGTGAAAAAGAACACTTATTTAGATGCTTGTTTCATCAATAACACTATCCTTCACATATGGTTACGTTATTAATTTAATTCAACCAATGAAACATTCTTTCTGGGCTTCATTTAAATATCTTCATTTTTGTTATGTGAATTTTGTAGTGCATTTCAATTAATGGTTATAGCAAGTCATACAAATTGATTAACTAGCTGAATGACTTGATTGTATAATTATATCCACTTTTTAAAGTGACTTGTAAACTTAAAATGGGTTAACTGTAGTGCAGGATATATCAGTTTAAAAAATTACAGATACTGCAGTCAAACTAACATTTTTGTTATTGTTTTATAAGAGGATTGTGTTATATGTGAAATGAGGAGTGTTATATTTTGTTTCATATTATTTAAGATACTGAAATAACACGATAAAGTTATTATTTTCCTTTAAGTTTTTGACAGTTTTCTTTTTCTATTAAGTTTATTGAAGAAGTTAATGATCAGCTGTCTGTATTATAGAATTAATAATGAGTATTGTATTTCACAGACAAAATAATCATAAATGTTTATTGTTTTAACTTTTGCATCTTGAATGGATAAAATATACATGACAGTTTATTTATTTGTTGTGAAAGCATCTGTTGTATGTGTTCTTTTTCAATAATTTTAAATTGTATTAATTATTTAAAACTGTAATCATAGTGTGATTTCACTCTTACTAGCCACACATTGAATTTAAAGTTGAAATGATAATAGCAATGATGATGAATACTTAAAATCAAATTTATTAAATTTATGAAATAAAAATATAGTTACTATTGTTTTAGTTTTGTGTAACTGTAGATTAAATAGAAAAATATATTGTTTTCAATCTAAAATCATTTAATTACATATTTTTAAATTTTTATTCATAATTATTAATCAATTTGTTATTGATATATCAGAGTTATAAAAATCATTTAAATTCAATAATTTATCCTACTATGGGTTTTTTCTTCATCTGTATATTATGATCATTCATAGATCCTCTAGCTAAATGAAACATAATTTTGAATTTTATATTTTAATTTGACAGTTTCATTTAATTATTTACAGTAGTGAAAATTAATTCAACTGTTTATTGTACTAACCAACTTCTTTTCTTAGCCAGTTTTATGAGAATGGTAAATTAGTACTTTGTGCAATGTGTAATTAATTAAATTGTTAAAATGGTGTTCTGAATTCCTCAAGGGATGTGTACTTCTGTGAAATATGATATTTCAAAAGTTTAATTTAGGGTGTCTACTGAACCTGGAAAACTTGGATAAATTTAGAAATTGCTCTTATGATTCAGAATCATTATTCATTAAAATGAGTTAACATAATAATTTAAGAAGCTAGTTTACAAATATTGTTACAAAAGGTCGCAGTATTTTGTTTACCTACACATAATTCTTTAAAAAAATAATAATAAAAATATAATAATTGGTAATTGGTTGACTGTCGTGGATAATGAAGAGAAGAATAGTTGGGGTGCTCAGTCAAAAAAGGAAGGCAAAAATAAATTATAATATATATATTTTACATCTGCCGACGTTTCGACCTGAAGTTCAGGCCATCATCAGGGCTTTCTCTTAGAGTGTCAAAGTGAGAATGAACATTGACACTCTAAGAGTGTCAATGTTCATTCTCTGTTCATTCTCACTTTGACACTCTAAGAGAAAGCCCTGATGATGGCCTGAACTTCAGGTCGAAACGTCGGCAGATGTAAAATATATATATTATAATTTATTTTTGCCTTCCTTTTTTGACTGAGCACCCCAACTATTCTTCTCTTCAATAATAAAAATAAACCTTATAAATTTCATAAAGCAAATTTATTATTATTCAAGGGAAAGTTGGTCGATGGTCCAGTAAATTGACATCTAGTAATATTGGAGTAGCATTTATTCATTTGTGTACGTTTCAACCCATGTTCTAAATCTGGGCATTTGATCTAGCAATGCCAGTGTTTATTACTGATTTCTTTAAAACTACTTTCTTAAAATTAAATTAATTATTAAATTTATTATTATATATTAACTGTATTAATAATTATAAACTATATTAACAAACCATTTCAGTAGGCTCTAAAGACAATTTGTTATTATTTTATATTTTTATGTCAATTAAAAAGTGGGTTAGTTTTTAATAAGTTAAAAAATCAAATAAAAAAACTAGAGAATCAAGGAAAAATAAATATACAGATAAAAAACTACAAACACATTAGTTTATTACAGAATTTAAAAAAAATAATGGTGAATATTGAAATGATTGATAATTATATAAATGAAAGATATATATGGAATTAATCAACCAAGTAGTGCAAAAAATATGCTTTAAGTTGGATTATATCTTAAAACTAACTGAAAATATAAAAGAAATATTCAAATTATGATGACGCTCATAATGATTTAAAATTTGGTCTTTATAATAATGATAAAATCATCAGCTACACAGCTAACATTAATTTAATAATTATAATAATTTATTCGACGTATGTGACAAGGAGGATTATAGAATATCTTTTCTTAACTTGAATAAGGAAAATGTCTTCTTTATATTAATAAAAAGTAAATCTCTTTGTTAAAGTACAATTAAAAAACTAAAAAATGTAAACATAATCAATTTTAGAATAGAACAAAAGGTTGGTTCTAAAGATAAGGTTATAATCCTGAAAAATAAACTTGATTTTGATGAGTTAGATAATATGAAGAAAAAAAGGGAGATTTAAATGGCTAAATTTCTATAAGTAAATAAATTAATTTAACTAAAGATGTTCCAACTGATTTTAGTACCTAAAAGGCTTGAAATTTTTATTTATATAGATAAGTTGAAGTGAGACTGCAGTTTTTGCTAGCTATCTTAAAAACTTGTATATCATAACAGTTATATGGTCTCCAATAGTGCTAAGTATTGTAGCAATTGTTCAAAATGCAAGGTTATTAATGAACATCAGTTAGTATAAATTTAGTCCAGATTCAAAGCATTTTTTGTTTTAGTTTTCTCCATAACTAATTATATCCATTGACAGTAAATCTTAAGCTAGTATATAGATTAATTTCCTTTATTGTTTATTTCTTTATGATATTTCTACAGCAGAATTATGAAGACCTTTCATAACTATTTTGATAACTTGGAAAATTTAGAGATTTCCTTAATAAGGTAGACAGACACCCTGTAAATTAATTGTCTCCTAATTCATTTTTTATTGAGTTTCAGTAATATAACCAATTAGTTATGAATTTTTGCTGCAATGTGTAATTTATGTTTGTTGATAATTTTTTTATTATGATTGCAAACAATGATTTTTAAAACTAATAATTCTTTTTTGTAATGATTAAAAAAGTTATGTATTGTTATTTAAATGTAATAAATTGAAGGCCTTGATGCAAATCATATTAAATTTTAGATAGACTTTGATTAAAACATAAAGTCCAGTTATCGTCCCATAGTGTGCAAAAAAGTAATAAACATTCAGTTAGGTTATATATAAAAAATATATAAATAAAGTAATTCTATTAATTTATTTTTTTTCTTCAATTGTTATAAATATTTTGTAGACTCATGATTTAGTTCTCCACATAATTTATCATGCAGAACAGGACTAATGTTTTATAAATATATAAGCTTAAGGTTGACTTACTTGAATTTTATTTGTTTCTAAGGCTGAATATTTAGTTAAAAAATTTTTAGTATTGGCTGCTAATCTATTTCACAGCAAGGAACCAAAAGAGTTAATTCTATCATTAGAGAGCTAAATAAATATACTCTTTTCATAGCAAATTTTATAAATTTACCTCTTAATTTTTTTAAAGTGAAGATAGAAGTCTAGATTGGTTAATTGCTTTCATTACTTAACTCATTGAAAGCTTAAATTTATCATCCATATTATTCAGAGGTTATTCTTCTCTAATTTTGTTGCATTTTCTGTTACTTTCTTGAATGTTGGTTATATGTGAAGACTTTCAGTTTCTTCTTAGGACATTGCAATGAAAAAGGCATGTCAGAAGAATGTGTTGTGTTAAGAATTTCACAATCATAGTCCATACTTCAAATAAATGTTGTTTTCCTCATCAAACTTCAAAATAGCTATATTGTTGCCACTTAAAACTATCCATATGCTAACAACTGGTTGCTATTGAAATCATTTATAATACCTCTATCGTATTTTTGCCACAATTTAAATCATTTCAGTAAAATATAGAGAGGAGAGATAGGTGATGTGAATGGAAATGATTGTAAGTGTCCAGTAGTGCACCAGTGTTATTCATGTTAAAAAGTTCATGATTAGGAAGATCAGATATCACATTCATCTTATATTGGTCTTCTATATTTTCTATGGACAGTAAATTAAAACAGTTGAAACTAAATAGAAATTATAAATAAAAAGTTAAGTAACTTTTTATTTTTATCTAATTATGAAAAATCAGGAAATAATAACGTATGGTTTAAACTAATTCATAAAGATTTAATAGGGAGAAGAGTGGCTCAGTGATAAAGTACTGAGCATCCAATGCTAAAGGTCCCAGGTTCGAATCCCGGCTCATCGCAGAAAAATTATTTATTCGTTTTCATTGGCCGTGGGACAACCCTTATTAGATTGACCCTCCTGGGGCACACCCTGCCTCTTAAAAGTGGGTACCCATAATAAAAATAATTAATTAAGCTGAAAAACCTGGAGGTTGAGCGTGATCTCAGTCAAATCACCTCCTTTCACAACTGCAGACCAGAACAGTGTTTTCTCTAAATAGTACTGAACACAAGACCCTTCGTGGGTTGTAGTGGTACAGGTATTTTTTTTTTTTTTTTTTTTATAAACATACATATAAACACATACGATAAAAAATAATTCAAAACATATATAAAAAAATGAAATCAGTAGCAATTTTTAAAACCCTCATTTTAGTAATTATAAAAATTA